CACAGTTTGTACAACTGGGAAGTGACATGTGCTCTGACACCCATAACATGACACAAAGTCAACTTCCTCACAATCGAATCCTTCTCCTACCTATTAGTAACCCTCCTATCTCCACAACTAACACTTCTGACAAAGACCTGGCCCCTTGAATGACAACAATTTGAGCACAATAAAGTTAATACCTGGTCTCCTGAAACCCTGGCCTATACTACATGCTGGAGCTTGTAATGTCCGGACCTTGATCCAAGTAGGACAACAGGCTTCATTACGTAGAACCTCGGAATCCCATGCTGTCTATGCATGATGCGTCCATGAAACGCGCACACATGATCTGAGTAAAGTCACTCGCCTGAATTCATCTTCTGAAGATCATGAACTGTTTCCATTTACTCGTCGTGTATCTGGAAACCACACACTCACTTCTCAGTGCCTTGCTTATTAAGCTACACTGTTAAGTTCTAAAGCAGAATCAGCTCTGCTGGATTGGCCTTTTGTAGACAGTCACTGATGCACTTTGCGAGAAAATTGGGATGGTAGAAACTCGGAAAGATAGGTATGCTCGCCGTTACCTCTTCGTAGTATTTGTCTACGCTTCTATTGATTGCAGCTCAGATGATTTACTCTGATTTAATCATAGTCTGAAGACGTAATTGATCTGATCAGTTACGTCTTCTCACTGTTCTATCAAAATTTATGAAAGGGACTAATCGTTTTAAAATAATGATAGTTTCTGATGGGTTTAATGCTGATGTAAGTGAACGAGGCGAAGCGGAATGATACCTATATGGATCTTAAGGTGTCGCGGCTCAGAGAACAGATAATGGTGACCGCCTGTTGCAACGAGATTCTGATAACCTCCTATTTCTAGCAAATACCAACTTTGAAAATAAGGAAGAATACCATTTGACATAGAGACCCCGAGAGTCAACTAGTGCTGAACCCAAATAGACCAGAATGGTAACGTAAATATAGGCTAGAATATAAATGCACTCTTTGACACTTAGCAATAGTTGTATTCTTCAACCTTAAGGTGACGTTTGACTATGCTGATCGTGAGATTCTGTGGCAGTAGGTGTCATTGAATGGTGCACAATAGAGGTAAATTAACCTCGTATAGGCTCTCTACTCAGACACTAACGGTCAAGTACATGATTAGCAAGGTAATAGCACCTTGAGGTCAGATTTTACGAGATAGTGTTTGACCACCACAAATGAACGATCACCACTACAATCAAGAAATTCATATATAGGCAACTGGGTTTAAACAACGTGCTTGAAAATCCGACAACGGCTAATGCTGCAGAGGTGCATCAGGTGATGAGAAAACCAAAAAGTGCCTCTATAGCAACGTAAGGGGACTAAGGGGTAGGCTGTTAGAAATCAGGAATATGTGCTGTCAGATTGATATGAAGATCATAATCCTGACTGAAACATAGCTGTTCCCTGACATTGCAGACGATGAAGTGAGCTTGCACGGCATGACACAGTTCCGAAGAGATGGGGTACACCAAACAGGAGGCAGAGTGGCTATATATATATATAAACAGCCACTTAAAAGCCGATTGGCTGCACGAAACCCAACTAAACCAGGTGACAGAAACATGTTGGTGTTGTTTCCACACAAATGGCATGAAATACTTGATTGAAGGGATTTACCGACTTCCCTCGGGTACTAAGGCCCAGAAAGACAAACTGACTAGGTAATACAGCAACAGACACTCCTTGGGTATGATCAAGTACTCGTAGCTGGAGATTTCAACACCCCGTCTCTAAATGTCAGCAATTAGGGTACAACTCACAATGGTTTGTTCCAGAGAAGAACTGACGCAGCCATTAGAAGTTGTGGGCTTACTCAGCACGTGTGCAGTGTAGATTTATTTCGACAGTGGCTGTCCCAATTGTTTCAAATAGAAACACTCCTGTACGTTCCTCCTAGTTCCAGGTCCCAGCCGAATCAAAAAGGGCAAAATTCTAGGAGAAAACTTCTGGTATTTGTGTTTCTTCCAGGGTTAAATTACTCCGCAGAGTATCCAACACAATAACTAGTAAGTGACACTAAGTCCAGCAGCCACCGCGTCCATCCAAAAATGTGGCGGTAGCCATATTATATCAAATTTAAACAATATATGTACAGTTCAGAAGCAAACACAAAAACTTCAATATAAGTACAAATATAGAAAGAATAACAATATACAATGATAAAATCTCAAATTGGAATCAAATAAAATACCAAAAATGTCAAGAGAAAAAGTCCATCATGTCATAGCAAAAATATGTAAACATGGAGGGATTTTCCAAAAACACAAAACATTCAAAAAGAATTCTACACCGGCCCGCAAAATCCCTCCATGCAAAAAGCAAGCGTTAATGACACTTTATTTAGGGTTCCCATGTTATCCCCTAATCCACACCGGAATAACGTGTAGGACTTACAGCAGTACGCCTACCCGCCATCCAACATGGATATGACCTATCGTGTTAACTAGGTACCTATACTTTCCCATCAGGCCCTTGATTCCCCTATCTATCGTGGAATGACCTAACGGTAGTATAAACCTTACCCAATTAACCCATACGAACATGAACAACACGTCGCAAAACTGGTCATATCCTATCCAAGGACTACATTCTCTATCATGGGGACGAGTCGCCAATCCACCACCACTTGCTCCGATCAGCAGATACCATGAAGTCCGTGATGCTAACTTATCAACAGAAGTTTTTGACCCATAAATAATATGCAAGGGTGGGATCTCCAATTTTGACATTTCATCGTCTCCAGAAGACCTTAAGTAGCATGACGTAGGATCAATATTTATCCTTCCATCTCCTGATGCAGAGGAGGTTTGAACAGTATTCATCATCGTCGGTAACTCATTTGTCACATCAGTGATGCCACTAGATGGACAAAGGAAGGAAAGCCCTAACACCTAAATTATTTGTTAATAAATGACCAGCTCCTGGTTGAGGATGCTCACGTCCATGCATCACTAGGAAGTAGTGACCATGGCACAGTCTTGTTTAACATAATCATAAACGAAACACTCAGGCAGGATGAAAACGAGCCCTGTCTTCGCCACACTGCGGCGAATTATGCACGCATGACAGAGAACCTTCTGCATGGTCACGGGAATGGTGGAGGCTAACAGGAGTTGATCACTGGCAAACAGTGAGAGACGTCATTCAGAATGCTGTCCTTAACAAGGTACCTCAGTCACACCACACACCCGGAAATAGAAAAACATGGGTTAGGCGCGGCACTGAACGCCTATGATAGGCGAAGAGGAGAGCCTGGCACAAGTGAAAGATCTCCTTGAATGATGTTCGTACTTGGCACTGAGAAATAAATGAAACAAAAGTTCGGAGTGATAGGAGACAATTTCAGATGAAACTATCTGTCCAGATACAGGCAAACCCTGAGCATCTGTTCATAATCATAACAAAAAGAAAACCTACGAATCAGGGTTTGTGTTCTCTCCCAGGTCCGAATGGAGAAGACCTCTTAGAGGTGGCTGAAATCTTCACCGTTATGTGACCTGTTCAGGCATTTACTGTAGTCACACCAACTCGCAGTTGAGTGGAAACAAGCCACTCTCTCCAATCTTCAAAGGAGGAAATAGCAAGGAACCAGGACAAGTGACTTTATTACCAATAAAAGCATAGCTAATGGGGGTCTGGTGAACGAACTGGTGAGGGAGTACATGGATAAGAACAAAATACTCCATGATGCTCAACACGGGTTTCGGAAAGGTAGGTTGTGCGCATCCAGTCTTCTCATAGCATAGGATAGTTCAAAATTCTGCTTGGACTGAAAAATACCGGTGCACATAATATTTCTTGACTTTGCGAAAGCCTTTGACACAGTAAAACATGCACGCCTAATCACGAAGGTTGCGGGAACGGGCTTCACTGAGCCACTCATATCTCTGCTCAAAATTTACCTTGAGAATAGAAAGATTCGCACCAAGGTAAATAGAGTCCACGTGAGTTGACGAGTCTAAAAATCAGAAGTTTTGCAAGGACCATCTTACATTAACTTCTCTTCCTGACCATAGCCACCTCAGACGACTGCTTTAAGAAGAGACTTTGTAAAAACGTACTCACATACGGATTACCATCTCCCTCGTGCATAAGATGTACCTGAATCATGCCTTCAGACTTGCTAGTAGTTATTATTTCCATCTCCTCAGAGTACTAACGTAATCGATCTCGCCTACCATCTCTGTATCTTTTCGCTCGTTTACACTTCCGTCTTCCCACACCATCTTCAGTACCAATTATTAAACTAAATTATCTGTTTATTTACTTATTTTTGAAATCTTACTCTTATTAGCATTAGAATTTTCTACTTGTTATCTCCACATTGAAACCAACTGATCTCCAGTCTAGTTATGTGATAGCTGCATGTATCCGGAAACCTCACTGCCCTGAAACAAGCGTATTAATTCAAATCTCGGGACATACAAACTCATAACCAACCACCAACTGACTACAATTAGACAGTCGAGTGGCTAGACCCCATTCATTAGACACTACTAAACACCCTGAGCCACAACGAAAGAACAAGAATTGAGCCCAAAGAAATCAAATGATTCATACTGGCTCGTGAAAAAGATGTTGGATATTGTGTCATATATAGATCACACTAGTGGGTCATGGGATTGGATCGAAGATCAAATCATAGTTTATTCTTTGAGTATTTTTGAGTGAGTTTAAACGCCTTTATTTGATCATCAATGCTGCAGAAGTGGATTATCCTAAATTCCTCAGCTTATTCACTTTTCTCAATTAAGCTTCTCTAAATTAAGATCCTTTAATAGTCATTGTAAACCATACGTATTTCTACAGACTCAGGAATCATCCAGGATGACGAAGATGAAAATATATGTAAGTTAACATCTTATCCTTTCTTCCTAACGATGTTTAATGCACGAAGGTTGTGTTTTTTTATGCCATCATTGTTTTCCTGAACTGTCCTTGACATTCAGCAACTTTTGAAAATGCAACAGGCCTGTGTTAATCCTCAGATTGCTAACATATTCAATCAGTAGGTGTAATTTGGGATTTTTAGTATTTAACGCCTATGTTAGAGTTGACCAAAACAGAAATGGAACCATATCTGCAGACGAACTGCAGCGGGCATTAGCCAACGGTTAGTTAGCGTTTTTGGACTTCTCTGTTATTCTTTGTATCGCCTACATTACCAGTATTCGCAGTTTGATGCTATTATTCATGTCCTAACTTATCGACTATACGCGACCTATCTTTTACTCAAAAATTGTTGAGTACTCCCCGTAGTTTGAGACGTTCTTGTTACCCAATTATTTCCTTTATCACAACTGTTCAGCACCGAAAAGAAAGTGTAAAAAATTCACATTTCATCAAAAGTAGCTCTGTTTTTTGAGCATTGATTTGAAGCTTTTCGTCAGGTGAAATACAACATTAGAAGAAATTAGTTCATACTATATCGTCCGTAGAACTTTCAATAAACTGATACACATTCCTGTTGCGATAATATTGTACACTAACGAGTTTAGTTTGCGCTGGCCACTCAGAAGTAATGGGAACTGCATGCTGTCAGATTAACTAGAATAAGAACAGAATATCGAGATTCAAATGTACGTAATCAAACACCGATCTTCACATCAGCCCATTTATTTTGCTACGCTGTTTTCTACTTTGTGTATAACCGCGTACCGTAAACTTCATGATGACGTATATGGAGTCAAGGTCTAGAAAGGATCTTGTTAGAGTTAGTATTCGCTTGGTTTATTCTACATGAGCTACAACCCGATATAAAAGTATTTAAGCATATTACACTACATTTGTAATTAAAAGGAAATATTTTTCCTCCGTAGTCAGATGAAACAATTATCTACATGTGAAAAATCGGTCCTTCGGGAATCAGTTAAGTAAGGTAGTATGTAACTCTTAAGGAAGCCACCTGACTAGTCCACTCAAGATTCATCATATACTCTGAACTCTGCACCTGTGTAGAAAGTTCGACGTTGTAACTGACTGACTGATAGACTGTGAAACAATCAGCTGCACCTCAAAAAATAACTTTCAGACTGTTTTAGAAGTTACTGAAGATTAAGATCACTCATTACATACAAGGTTAAATCTAGGGTATGCCTGTGTTTCAGGCATACTCTCAGACATCCGACACTGGTTACGTTCCTTAATCTCAGGGTGGCGTTTAACCCTGTTAATTGCGATGTTTTTGTCTGTCACTGAAGGGTGTATCAATAAGGACATTAACTTTAAACAGATAACCTACGCGAACACTACTGGTTGAGTCAGGGCTTATAACAAACTGTTATCTGAATCCATTACTTCAAGTGGTGTTCGTCAGGGTTATCCAATATCTACATTCTTATTTAACTTAGTCTCAGAAATGCTTTTAGAGGTCACTTATCGCCTGACTTCCCAGGAGTTGACCTACCAAAAGACCCACTTGTTGACTGAAAATATGCTGATGGCAAAATTCAAAGTCTTTGAACAACGGTGCCAGCGTGTTCCGGTCGCTATTTCTCTCCTTGAAATGCAGAATGTTTCTTCAGGACTGGCTTGCGTCAACACCTAAATCAGTGATAGGGAGTGAAGCTGTTGAGTGTATTGAATGATTTATTTATCTTGGTAGTCCCATCGGTGCTGATGACCTGGTGTGTGACGAAATCTCAGTACGGATACCGAAGGCTCGACCAGCTTTTGGCAACCTGCATTATTTATGCCGTGAGCTAAATATCAGTGTACTAACCAAAAAACGAGTGTACTGCGCATCAGTTCGTTCAGTCCTGCGATATGTCTGTGAAACATGGCCTGTAAGAGTAGGGGGGATATTCGTAGGTTACTAGTATTTGGTCATTGCTTGGAAGCATTGCTTGTATATCCTGAGGCCATTTAGTAAACGATTCTAGTGTTAGGAAAGGTTTACTAGATAAGGAGAGCAAGTCAGTTGATGAAGTAGTGAAACTTCATTAGTTGTGGTGGTTGGGACATGTGTTTTGTGTGCCCAACCACTGACTGTCTTGACAAGGGATGTTATCTAATGTAGAAGTAGGCTGAAAGAAAGTTGGGTGCGGTCAGACCAAGATGTGGTACCACTCCATGAAGTCATTTGATCATTAAACTCATGTCTTGTTAATGATCGCAGATCATTGGGTTTATATTCGTGTGATAATCGCACCTTGCTGTTAGAGACTGAATGACATGGCGTATGTGCTTCCATTATGTCTCCCCTTGAATTTTGAGTTTCAGAATTCTTTATATACTTATCTCACCGATTTATATTTTCTTGAATATTATCTTAGTTGCCCAATCTTTTCAATTACTACTAGTACTATTACGAACTCCAATACTCTGTGATCCAACTTGACATTTTCATCTGTATAGTATAGTATAGGGTATGACAACATAAACTGATTGATGTACTAACTTACCAAGTTCTAATTTGTAGCTGATCAAAGGTTTCCTATTTATAGAGGGTCTCTTTTGAAAGATTCAGTCGAACGTTCTGTAATTCTAAATACAGACCCTCAAAATTCATATTGATCTAACTAATTCCTCTGTAGTTACTACAGAAAGATTTTTATTTGTTCTCATAAACTGTGTTAGTCAGAAACTAAAGTCAGTCAGGTGGAATTAGTGTTACTTCGCAACTGGTAGCTATAACTCAGTCTAACTGCTAATAGTCATTTGAAATCCGCAAAACCCTCTACAGTTATCCAGATCTATACAGTTATCCAATAGAAATCGATTGTTCTTTCTGAGTAGTATAATGATGTTGCTGGTTGTTGTATGTTAGATGTCAACCTCTCATCCAGTTAAACCGATACTCGAAACGTTTTACTTTTCTTTTTCCTTGTGTGACTCAAGATAAAATAATATCACTCAGTCAATTCGTCAATATTTTCAAGGCCCATTTCTTTAACTTTTCACTTGAGCGTCTCTGTTAATCAGGATTTTTTTCCCTTAGAACTGTTTAAATCACTCATTTTATTTAGATTAATAATGAGTGCTACGCTATGATATTATTGATAAGTGTAGGGACTTATTCTCATCTTACTTACTCATCTGAAAATTCTAAATTCATAAGTTAGTTACACCTTCAAAAAAAAGTTGATTGTCGAAAGCCCAGTTGATCAGGATAAAATAATTACCAGTAAATTATAAAACCGATTGATTAATTTCATAACTGTAATTCTACTGTTTTCGCTAATTGGAAAAGATTGTACATAATCTCATCTCAGGGATGTCCACTTTCCCCATTCTTGTTTAACTTTGTCATAGACATGCTGCTAGATATAATGTTATCTTCGTCGGACTTTTCAGGAGTCGATTTTCTACCAGGAAAATCGCTTACTTACCTAGAATACGCCGATAACATAGTTCTATTCGGTGAAGACACTGACAAAATTCAGTCTTCTGACTACCCTAAGCAACAATGTAAGCATGTTTGGCATGTGGTTCTCCCCCTCGAAATGCAAAATGTTGCTTCAGGATTGGCTTGCGATTTCACCGGAACTGGTGATAGGGAGTGAAGTAGTCGAACGAGTAGACCGCTTCACTTATCTGGGGAGTCTCATCAGTGCTGATCGCCTGGTGACTGACGAAATCTCAGCTCGGATACAGAAGGCTCGATTTGCTTTTGCCAACCTTCGTCACTTATGGCACAGGCGAGATATCCGCTTGCTAACCAAAGGACGAGTGTACCGTGCAGCGGTTTGTTCCGTCCTACTATATGGCTGTAAAACATGGCCGTTAAGGCTTGAGGACTTTCTTAGGTTACTAGTCTTCGACCATCGTTGTCTCCGAAGCATCGCTGGTGTATCCTGGGACAACCGTATAACCAATGCTTTCGTTAGGAAACGAGTTCTAGGAAGAGATGGCAAATCAGTACATGAAGTAGTGAAACTTCATTATTTGATGTGGTTGGGACATGTGTTACGAATGCCTAACCACCGACTGCCGCGACGAGCTATGTTTTGTGGTGTAGGAGTAGGTTGGAAGAAAGCTAGGGGTGGCCAAACCAAAAATGGCAGAAATCTTTGAAGTCACTGACAAGTGGACTGAGTCATGTTGGTAGATGTAAGCTACGTGGTCGGCGCTGCCGAGATGTTAGTAATCGATGGTTAGAGACCATGAATGACATAGCTCAAAATCGTTTGCAATGGCGCTGGTGCATCCACTCTTTGTGTTCTCTGTAATTCTAACCTGAATTCATCAACACCTCTGCCTTTGTCTTTCTAAATTTATCTCACTGAATTATACTTCCCTAATCTTCTTCATTACTTCTAATACTTCTACTATCGCTATCACTCTTGGATTTGAACTGACAGTTGCGTCTCTGTGCTGATGTGGTATGGCGACCTGAACTGATGTACTTACGTACGAAGTTCTGCGTTGTATCTGTATATACATAATCTCATCTCGACTATATAAACCCAATAAAATATACTTATCGTTAATTGTTAGCTACGACGCAGAATTCGATACGTGCGTACGTACGTCAATTCATGTTGCCATACCAGATTAGCACGGAGAGATGAAATTGTCAACTCAAATCCCATTGTAGTAGAGGTAGTAGGAGTATTAACAGTAATGGAATAGATTAGGGATGAAAGATATCCTTCGAGAAGTATATCCCAGTAGAATCAACTTAAAAAGAGAAAAAGAAAGATGGTGAGAATTAGACAAAAGGCAAAGAATGGATGCATCTGCGCCATAGCAAACGATTTTAAGCCACATCATTCAAAGTCTCTAACCATTGGGTACTATGGTCTCACGAACCTCATCTAGATAATCTACAACGGTTAACATGGTTCAGTCCAGTTGTCAGTGACTTCATGGATTTGTTCCATGTTTTGATTTAAATGCCCCCAAGCTTTCATCCACTCTACCCCTACATCAGATAACATCGTTTGTCGAGGTAGTCAGTGGTTGGGCATATGTACATGACCCAACCACCTCAACTGTTGAAGTTTCACTACTTCATTAACTCGTTGTCAATAAAGTTAATACTGCTTAATTTATTTACATAAGCATTAAAAGATGAAATCATTGAATTAGATCAAATCCATTTAAAAAACTGTTTTGTAACATTTGTTTTATTTTTTTAAAAACATTAACCTTACTAATTCTCAAACACAATAGGATTAAACACACCATTCAACATCAAAACAATTGAATTAATGATGTGTATGTTCGACAGAGATATGAGTGGTACAATGAATTTAAATGAATTTGCTCAATTATTTGGTTATATACAACAATGGCAACAATGTTTTCAATCATTTGACAGAGATAGATCTGGTTCAATGAATAGTAACGAATTTCATACTGCTTTAACAACCTTTGGCTATCGATTATCTGGGCAATTTGCAGAATTTTTAGTCCGTAAATTTGATAGACGTCGTTGCGGTTCAATAGGATTTGATGATTTTATCTGTGCATGTGTTTGCTTAAAGGTAAATTTTAAGAAGCTTATTTTCTTTACTGTTTCCTACTTTTATGTATCAAAATGTTTTAATGTTGTGCATCTGACAACAAAAGACGATGAAGCGCCTTTAAAAAAAAAATTACTTGCGTGATTAAGTTTTTAGTGAATCATACATTTTCGGTGAGTTGTCTACTGCCATCAGTAGCACTGTTCTCATCATTTCATTGCTAATCTCGTTAAATTCCCGCTGAACGATACAAAATGTGGTAACTTTTAAGTCAGCCCATATTCATCCGATTCTTTTCTCTGTTTTACAAATGATCAAAGTTGAAACTTATCTACTATACTTTCATTGTGAAATTCGAAAGAACTGCTGGTCTTAGTTTTCACTTAGGATTTTGTCTATCATAACAACTAAGGCTATATATATATATATATAACCTGGGGAATTTGTTGCTTAAGGTCTTACCATGCCAGAAGAATCGAGGTCAGACATTGAGTCCATTGAGCAGAAATCAAATTTTTCTAACAGAAACATCTAAAAACTGTTGATCGTCAGTACTCGCGCTGATCGATTGATTGCATTTGTACATGTTTTTCTCTTCTGATCAATTTTCCTCCTGATACTCAACGCGTGTGTGATAACGATTTAATTGTATAAAGTGTTTGTTATTCTCGGTCTACGAAAAATTGTGCTCTTAACTGCAAGCTACTTTGTAGTAGTAGCAATTTGTAGTATTTCATGCCTACATGATATATCCTAACTTTTGGATAGATAAATTAATCTGTGTTTTAGGTAAGCAATAAGAGATGAGAAGAGGAGTAGGCAAAACTAGCCTACTCAACTTTAGTAAGCGTGATTCAGCATTTATAGTCTAAATGATTAAAAGAAGTGATGAAATTTATTATAAGTCAGTCAGTTACAACGTAGAACTTTGTACGTACGTACATAAGTTCCGGTTGCCGTACCACATTAGCATAGAGACGCAATGGTCAGTTCAAAACCTATAGTGTTAGAGATAGTGAAGTATTAGTGGTAACGGAGAAGAGATAAAGGTGATGAGGAATTTAGAAGATTAGAATTTCAGAGGACACAAAGAATGGCTGCACCTGTGGCATTGCAAACGATTGTGGGCCATGCTGTTCAAGGTCTCTAACCATCGGTTACTATCGTCTCGCGGACGCCATCCAAATAGTCTACACTTACCTACATGTCTCAATCCTTATGGACTTGTACCATGTTTTTTTAGCCACCCGTATCTTTCTTCTAACCTACTCCTACACTGCAAACATTGTTCTTCGGGGCAGTTGGTGGTTGGACATACAAAATACATGTCCGATTTACCTCAACTCATAATCATTCAGTACTTCATCAATTAACTTTCTATCCTTATATAGTAGACTTTTATTAACGACAGCATTCCTTACTTGATTGTCCCACGATACGAATATCTTCTACTCTAAATGGCCGTGTTTCGCATCCATATAGTAAGATGGAGAGAACTGCTGCACAGTAGACTCGTCCTTTGATTAGCAGACGGATGTATCGCCTACGCCATAAATAACACAAGTTGGCAAAAGTCAATCGAACCTTCTGTATCCGTTCTGAGATTTCGTCAGTTACCATACCATCAGCACTGATCAAATTCCCGAGATAAGTGAAGCGGTCGACACGTTCAACTGCTTCACTCCCTATCAACTAGTTCAGGTGCCGATGCAACCCAATCTTGAAGCAACGTTTCGCATTTCGAGGGGAAGAGCCGCATCCCAAACATGCCTGCATTGTTGCTTAGGGTGGTTGGAAACACTGCGTTTTGTCAATGTCTTCACCGAATAGAACTATGTCATCGGCATATTCTGGGTCAATAAGCGAGCTCCTGGTAGACGGTCTACTCCTGAAAATTCAGACAAAGATAATGTTAACTCTAAAAGCATATCTTTGACAAAGTTAAACAAGAATGGAGAAAGTAGACAGCCCTGACGAACACCACTTGAAATAATAAATTCTGATGACAGTTCTCCATATGCTCTCACTCAACCAGTGGTGTTCAGGTAGAGGGCCTGTATAAGGCTAATATACTTCTCTTTCGATGACAAACACTGCCATAGAACCTCACGATCAACAGAGTCAAATGCCGCTTTGAGGTGCACGAAGACAACTACTATCGGATGCCTAAATGTGCGTTTGTGTTTCAGGACCTGTCGTAGTGTAAAAATGTGGTCTATACAGTCATGTCCAGGTCTGAAACCAACCTAGTTTTTTCTAGTCTACTCTTCATTATATGTAGTTAGGTGTCTAAATTTTAGAAACTATATTGGTTAGACTGATTCCTCTGTGATTGACACAAGAGGACTTGTGTCCTTTTTTAAATACATTGGGACAATCAGGGATTGAGACCAGTCAGATGGGATTACTCCCAGTTCCCAAATTCTCCCAAAGATTTCAGTCAATCTAACTGTTAAAACTGGACGACCATCCTTAAAATTCTCAGAAGTTAGCCTATCAGTACTTGCTGCTCAAATGTATAACAATGACTTAGCAGTAATTAAGACGTTTAACTTCCAATCCTTGTTCAAATCCCCGTTCCTGTGACTTCCTCTCAAGTAATCGCAGTTTTATCATTATTAGCTTATATCCAACTGCCTAAAAAAGAATGCACCGACGAAATCACTCTTCATGGAGATGCTTTCGAGGACGTCAACAACTTTACATATCTGAGCAGCATCATCGACGAGAAAGGTGGATCGGATGCAGATGTGAGGGCGCGGATCGGAAAAGCAAGGGCTGCATTTCTACAGTTGAAAAATATCTGGAACTCCAAACAACTTTCAAACAAAACCAAAATCAGGATTTTCAATACAAATGTCAAGACAGTTCTACTGTATGGAGCGGAAACATGGAAAACTACCAAAGCCATCATCCAGAAGATACAAGTGTTTATTAACAGCTGTCTACGCAAAATACTTCGTATTCGTTGGCCAGACACCATCAGCAACAACGAACTGTGGGAGAGAACAAATCAGATTCCAGTGGAGGAGGAAATCAGGAAGAAGCGGTGGAAGTGGATAGGACACACATTGCGGAAAGCACCTAACTGCGTCACAAGACAAGCCCTCAAATGGAACCCTCAAGGCAAAAGGAAAAGAGGAAGGCCAAGGAACACACTACGCCGAGAAATAGAGAAAGATATGAGAGGAATGAACAAACATTGGACAGAACTGGAGAGGGAAGCCCAGGACAGAGTTGGTTGGATGGAGAAAACTGGTGGGCGGCCTATGCTCCATTGGGGGTAACAGGCGTAAGTAAGTAAGTAAGTAAAAAGAATGAGTTAATTGAAATTAGAAAATTCAATTGTATTTCTTTTCCCTAAAGCTAACAGTTTACTAAACTACTTATTATTATTATTATTATTATTATTATTACTATTATTATAGAATTTAACTGATGGCTTCAAAGTTTACGATCATCAACGTAGTGGAATGGCACAATTTAAATATGAAGAATTTTTAACTGTTGCTTTCAGTGTAGTCAGTTAAAAAATATCAATGTCAACATTATCAATATGAGAATTTCTTTCTTTATCAATCACTCGTCAACTAATCGTGCTCACTAATTTTCATATCGATCTAATTGAACTAAAATGCCATAAGAGCACCACACATGACTCGTATTCGAAGCGATGAAAATACCACCGAATATATTGTGTAATATATAAATTATCTAAAAAATGAATTTATGGTGAATTTATTTTTTCTTCATTTTTTATGTGTATACAAAATTTATCAGTGATTCAATTCATTTCACAATTATTATAATAATTAGATATACTAACGAATGAGACAACCATATCACAAACACCACTCTGTCTCTATGCAATGGTCTACAGTAGAATATGAGTAGTGTTATTAACCTTGGTTAATCTTGCATTTTATAAGAAGTCCGTTTTTTTTAAGTGAACCACCATTCTGTTTTAGTTTTGTTTTTTTAAATGAGAGCTAAAAATTATGATTGTTGTGTACGACTTCTTTATTGTACATGATCAGTAAAGAGAATAGAAGATATTTGTAGGTAACTAGTATTCGATCACAAGTGTCTTCGAAGCCATTGCTCGTATATCCTTGGATCACTGAGGTAAGCAATGCTAGTGTTAGGTTAAAGAGTACTAGGTAAGGTTAGCATATTAATTGATGAAGTAGTGAATCTTCGTCATCAGTTGATGAGGTAGTTAGGATGTGTATTTTGTATGCCTAACCACCGACTGCCTTGACAAGCGATGTTGTCTAATTGTAGGAGTAGGCTGAAATAAAGTTGAGTTTGGTCAAACCAAAATGTGATACGCCTGCCTCTATGAAAAGTCATTGACCATTGTACTAGGTCTTGTTATTACATGCAGACTTACCGGGTTTATGTTCATGTGATAATCACACCCAGTGGTTAAAGACTTTGAATGACATAGCTCAAACAGGTTTACAATGACGTAGGTGCATCCATTCTTTGTTTTTCCTTGAATTCTAGGTTTCAGAATTCGTTTCGCTGATTTATATTTTATTGAATATCATATCACTACTATGAGTGATACCAACTTGACTACTCTGTGACCCAACTTGACATTTTCATTTGTGTATTATAATAGTATAGGGTATAGCAACATGAGCTGATATACTTATTTACCAAGTTCTACGTTACAGCTGATTGACTGATGGCTTTATTGTTAAAATGTATGCCTAATATTAGTGAATTTACTGGACACATTGTATAGATGAAAATTAGCGGTGTGTTATCACTCGATTACTTAAAATCTAATTCCTTGAAGAAGAGTTCAAACCTCTATAACTTGTTTATCTCTAAATTATTAGTTAAGAACATTTATTAAGTAAGATCATGTAACTTTTTTGAATTACGCCGCACATTACAATAGTATATGAATTCAAATAACAGGTGTAAGTAAGTAAGTAAGTAATATACTTTCACAAGTCTAATATACAATCAATCAATCAATAGCAACGTAGAACTTCGTACGTATGTACATCAGTTCATGTCGCCATACCACAACATTAGCACAGAGATGTAATTGTCAATTCAAATGCAATAGTAGTAGAGGTATTAGCAATAGTCGGAGAGGTTAGGATTAGAAGATATTAGGCAAGAAATAAAATCTAGTGAAGTAGACTTAAAAAAATAAGGATAAAGTGATGAAGAATTAAAAAGTTTGGGATTTGAGAGAACACAAAGAATGAATGCACCTGCGCCATTGCAAACGGTTTTGAGCCATGTCATTCAGGGTCTCTAACCATCGATTACTAACATCTCGCGGACCCCAACCAGGTAGTCGACACCTACCGACATGGCTCAGTCCACTTGTCAGTGACTTTATGGATCTGTGCCATGTTTTGATCTGGCTTTCATCCAACCTATTCCGACATCGCAGAATATAGTTCGACGAGGCAGTCGATGGTTAGGCATACGTAACACATGTCCCAACCACCTAAACTGATGAGGTTGCAATACTTCATCTATTGACCTGCCATCCTTACCTGGCACCCGTTTCCTAATAACAGCATTGCTCACTCGGTTGTCCCATGATACACCAGCGATGCTTCGGAGACACCTATGGTCGAAAACCAGTAACTGACGAATATCTTCTACTCTCTTTGACCATGTTTCACAGCCATAAAGTAGGACGGAGCGAACTACTGCACAGTACACTCGTCCTTCAGTCAACAAACAGATATCTCGCCTGCGCCATAAATGACTAATGTTGTCAAAAGCCATTCGAGCCCTCTGTATCCGAGTTGAGATTTCGTCAGTCACCAGGCGATCAGCACTGATGAGACTCTCTAGTTAAGTGAAGCGGTCTGCACGTTCGACTACTTCAATCCCTATCATTAGTTCAGGTGCCAATGCAACCCAATCTTGAAGCAACATTTTCGCATCTCGACGGGGAGAACCGCATCCCAAACATGCTTGTATTGTTGCTGGTCTGGTGGTCAGATGACTCTGAATTTTGTCAATGTCTTCACCAAATAAAACTATGTCATCGGCATATATTATAAGTCTAATATACACTCCAATTCATTATTGAATATTATCGTTTGATACTATAAATCCACACACACAGTTAGTTGGTTTGCTTACTCCATTCAATCTTATTGTTCTAGTTTTTAAACAATTCTCTTCATTAAATAAATCAAGAAATAAATGGTCTCTTAATGTGTTAGGTAAAGATGCAAAATATTAAGCTCACTAGTTCAGTGATATATATTTTGTGTATGTATGTGTGTGTGTGTGTGAGTGAGTTAAACTAACTGATCTATTGATTTTGTAAATTGTATTACCTACACCAAATTATTGATTCATTAGTGTTATGTACACATAAGGTTAATATATTACCTTCGATCGTGCCATCTCACTTTTGTTATATGTATTAGTGTATTTCAATGATGTGCAATCAGTTGAATTAAGTTTATCATTTTGTTGATAAATCGGGTCTATAAGGTTTCTGAGGCTATTCAATCAGTCAGTTAGTCACAGCTCTAATGTAGAACTTAATACGTACATGCGTCAGTTCAAGTTGTCATACCACATATAGCACACAGAGAGAGCAGAGTAATGGAAAAGATAGACAACTTGCTATTCAGATTGACTGTAGATCTTGGGTAAATGCACTTAAGCTTACTCCGCTCTTTATCAGGTTCAGAGCCACTATTAGTTCAGTAGATTTTGCTGAAATCCACTGATTCTCCCCAGACCTTTAGGTTCAACTTACTGGCATATATCACTGGTTTATTGATATCATCCCAAACTGCCTCGGGGTGTCTATCACTTACATGGCTGCCTAGCTGTTTTTCTAGTTGCTCCTGAAATATATTCTTATATTTGCTATCATTAAGTAGAATGCTAAGGGGTTTAGTCGGAAAGATCAGAAGCAACTGTTTACTGGAATCCAGTCTAACAGAGCTAGTTCTGTTGTAGAACTCAATGCTATACCTACGCCGGCGAGGCCACGAGTAGAGGTAGTGGGATCTTTATATCTATGAAAGGTAAATCACGATGGTCCTTTATTTTGACAAGTTGAGGTCAAGTGAATTACTCTACACTGATCCCTTATGCGTGTTTCGGGGACACACCATACATTGATGACACGAGATTCTAAAGTCCTAGCTAAGGAAGCCTGTAGTTCTATTCGGTACAATGTCTGGACATTAAAAGCTCTAACATGTAGTTTGGAGCTCTGTTTCAGGAGACAATGAGTAACATTTCTTGTACTCAGATCGTTAACATTAGCGGCGTGATGTGATAGAGGTGTATGAGAAGGGTTATTAGTGAGAATAAGAGAGTCGTTAAGTGGTGAAGAAAGGATTTTATTGTAAGCAGGTTGATCTCGCGTGGTGTTAGAGTCATGAAGGTGGATGTCACTCCCCCGTTGTCCTCATGATGGAAGAGTGCATTTTGAGGAGCTTGAAAAGGAAGTTGGGTTTACGTGGGTCTTGGGAGTGTGACCAGTGCTTGTAACCACTCGCTCACGGCCTTTTATAGTAAGATTTGGAAGTGTTAGCTCCGCTCTTCAGAATGAAATCTGTGGGATCAGGTGAGGTGTGACATTTTTAGGGTTCACCTGTCCTAGCTCCTTCCTTCTGTTTTGAAAAGGCAGCATCGCTACAGATGTCGGTTGTTCGATAGGAATACCTTACTGCTATCACACCCCTCTATAGTCGCTCAGCCGTACGGCCCCGCCCGCAGACCTTGAGTTGCTGCTTTTAATCTTACTGTTCTTCACTTGACCTGTCTGGCATGGTAGGACCTAAGGGTGCATGTGTTCCCGCCAATATAGCTCGATCAAGTCATCATGGTCGGCAAGTCCGGCCACCAGATCAACGTAGTTAGTAGCTACGGTCATAAATAAATACTTATTGGAAGTGTTTAAGTCTCAAAGCAATTAATTTTCTTTAAATGTAACAAAAGTGTAAAGCAAAATTATTCCTTTCTAACAGTAAATATAGCTGTTTTTCGAAGCGAAAGTAGAGACTAATCAAAGCACCAGCTTCAGTAAACTTTCAAAAACTTAATCTTTTAGCGTCCGTGCACTATACCGAAGGTTTCGGGTTCGAATCCCGCGAGCTGCAGGAGTTGTGGGTGCGCACTGCCACTGATGAGTTGTCCCATACCAGGATGAAAAGGCCGTCCAGTGCTTTCAGGTTTCTTCTAATGATGGTCTAACAATGATTGATTGATGATTTCAAATGTGTAAAAACACAAATCTCCAAAACTCTGCCTGAAAATATGTTTACTTTCACTAATCGGATTAACTTCCTTGAATGACCTTGAGCGGTCATTACTTTTCCAGTGAATAATTCAGTTACCGCAATTTTGTAGTAATACTTTATAAATCGATAATAAGTTGTGAACAGACCATACCAAAAAAATTTTGACCTAAGATGTTTTCGTTTAAACGAATCTTGCGATTGTTTATTTAAAATTCTATGTTTCTGTATTTATGTATGAAAGTGTGTATATCTTTGCATGTATGTATATATAT